TACTAAAGAAGATAAATAAGGAAGAAAATACTCTTTAAAAAAGTGTTCAACGGTAGCAAGTTCTTTCCTCGTTCTTTCCTCGTGGGAAAGAACTCTAACTAAGTGGGAAAACTGATCTAAATTAGGGTCCGGGTCCATCAACCTGGCCCGTAGCCATGGTTTCGGTGCTTTTGGGCGAATCGCTAGAGCTTCGGTCAGAAGCGCCCAATCAATTTGCACCCAAAGAAGAAAATTTTGCAAAATCTTCAGGCTACATCATGGCTACAATGAAATTTTTCTAAAATGTAATTTACTCAGAAAAATTTGCATTCTTGTGAGAAAATTTAGGGTCTTAGAGCCTTAGGCAGAGATTTTAGACCATTAGTGGTTATCCAGGAAACTTCTAACCTTCTAACCGTTACCAATTAGTGGATTTGACCTCTCTGACCTAGTCCTAAGCTAGATCTAACCTAACCCTGATCCTAGCCCTGATCCTAACCCTGCTTTAGTTGCTTGGACTTGAACTCTCAAAGTAATTTTGACTTGTCCTGTGACCCTGATTTTGTGGCCATGTGGCCCTGTTTTTGTGGCCATATGGCCCTGTTTTTGTAGCCCTGATTTCAAGTGGAACCTGTATGTGTCCGGAGATGTTTTGTGAGAGTTGAGCTATCAGTGAACGCTTTGTCACAATGAGGACAAGGGTACGGTCGCTCGCCGGTGTGAGTTCTGCAAAAATATCTATTTGATAAAACTATTGATTAAAAAAGTATAGTTTAAGAAAAATTCTGACGCTTTTCCGCTTTTTAAGCTCACCTTTTATGTGTGACCAAAGAGGAGCTCTGTGAGAAAGGGCGCTGGCAAACCGAACAGGAGAACGGTTTTTCACCTGAATAACTTATTTCTAATCGGAACTATTATAGTAATTAGTTTCTTTTCTACCTAGAAAATACCTAGAAAGGCTAGAAAATATGTCTAAAAGGCATCTATTTTAGAAAACTACCGTAACACAGCCTAGGCAGAGATTTTAGACCCTTAGTCGTTATCCAGGAAACTTCTAAACGCTGCCAATCGATTCTCCGTGTCAGTTTACATAGGAGATGTATGAGGCGAGGTATGGGTATGAGGAAATTAGCACTGAAATTAGTACAAGATCTCGTCGGTATGAGGCGAGGTATGGGTATGAATGAAGCACAAAGAAATTCGATTTAAAGCTTGTGAAGCGAGTTAGAGAAGTTCAAAGTCGGGCAGAGGCAATGTCGAGCAGAGGATTTGATTGATTTGAAGATGCTGATGCGATTTGGCTGATAAGTTTGCCACCTACGCGCCACGAGGATACATTTTCTTTTACGACATCGCAAATGCACGCAAATGCACGCAAAAATCGCAAAAATCTTTCTTTTCTATCGGAATTTTACGCGAAACATGGCATTCGACTTAGAAAAATGTGCTGATTCCGAAAATCGATGTTTTGTTTTTTTTTGAAAATCCATGCGACAGATTTTCAGCAATTGAGTTTTTATTGGGTTGATGCATAATTATCCGGACTTCTTTTATAAATGATTTTATTTAACAAAAAATAACATAAATAGTTAGAAAAATATGTTTAATTGATTATTCTGGAGCATATTCACCGCCTACATCAATAACTGATTGCCATTTGCTTGGAAGACGATCGATTCCACGAGCGAAGAATAAACGATCTTTGGAGGCAATCCACGCTTTAACATCGTCTATCAAGTCATCCAAATCGTTGTAGATCTTATTTGTTTGCCAATTTTTGAGCGATCGATTGACGTGGTAGTCCGTTGGGGCTTCTCCAGTTCTTTGAGATCGCGAAACGACTCTGCGGCAGACCATCCCTTTTCGAAGTGGTAGAGCATGATATGGCGAAGATGGATATGATTGTCGACACGCATTTTGTTCACTAAAGAATAACGAATATTTTAAAAAAAGAAATAGACAAAAAGCTTTCAAAACAAAAAAGATACAAGCACGCAAAAAGAAGTCCGGATAATTATGCATCAACCCAATAAAAGAAATTTCACACAGAAGTTTTCCCTTCAAGTGGTTTCGTGTTCCAAAACGCTTATATTTTCGAAATTTGCAAAAGCGCTAGTCACTTTTCTTGTTCTGTTCATTTTGAAACCAAATAAAACAAAAAAAACGAACAAATTTGAACAAAGTTATTTCATTTTTGTACAGGGTGAGGTATAATTGTGGTCCCACGCTTTTTCTTTTGTAAATATCTCCGCAATTTTTCGAGCAACTCTCATAAAATCTTTTTTAAATAAAAATTCGAGTTTTTTTTCTATGATAGGCTTTTTGGTTTTTTGCTGAAAACTCAATTGGCTTCGTTTTGGGGTGTCTAAAAGTTCGTTCCTCGAGCTCGGCGCGCATGTTATTTGATTAGATTACAAGTTTTGTATCAGTAGAACATTTTCGTTAAAAATTCTTTTTAATCATTCTTAGAAATATAAACGAATAGATTAGACAACAAAAAAAAAGGATGTTTATATTTTGCACACGACAAAATGGGGATTCTTTTCATTGCCTTTATTCCCCTAAAGGGTGAAACCAAAAGGGTGAAACCAACTCGTCATTCACCATAAAGAAACATACATAAATTTCTTTCCAGCTCCTAACCATTATCGTTTTCTCTGAAAGCTTTTGCAGTCGTTTTCTCTGAAAGTTTTTGCAGTTATAATCCATTTCTCATCTCCCGTCACTACGTGTATTTTTCTTATTTTATGGTATGATTACTAACTTTCAATTCATTAATATGGTTGTTTTCAGGAATGGTGAAAGCGTCTGCACATCGACAATCGATCAGCTCAAGACAATCGATCAGCTCAAGACAATCGATCAGCTCAAGACAATCGATCAGCTCCAGACAATCGATCAGCTCAAGACAATCGATCAGCTCAAGACAATCGATCCTGTAGCTCAAGACAATCGATCAGCTCAAGACAATCGATCAGCTCCAGACAATCGATCAGCTCCAGACAATCGATCAGCTCCAGACAATCGATCAGCTCAAGACAATCGATCAGCTCAAGACAATCGATCAGCTCAAGACAATCGATCAGCTCAAGACAATCGATCCTTTAGCTCAAGACAATCGATCCTTGAGCTCAAGCGGCAGCGTGTTCAGGCGAGCGAGATCTCAAAGCTCCTGAACGTCCCCAGAAGCCTCGTTTCTCGAACCATTGTTCTTAACCCATTGGATTACTCAGTCTGGAGTGTTCTTGAAGACAGGGCATGTCCAAAACCACATAAAAATATCGAAAGTTTGAAGATGGCGCTCATCAAAGCATGGTCTACCCTCGATGATGCCTATTTGAGCTCAAGCGGCAGCGTGTTTAGGCGAGCGAGATCTCAAAGCGCCTCAATGTCCCCAGAAGCCTCGTTTCTCGAGCCATTCAACGTGTATTTACATTTACGTGTAACGATTTACGTGTAATATATTTACATTTGTTTTTTTGCACAAAAGACTTCACAAAGAAGAAATCTAGTGTTTTCTTTTGTGAAAATTATGATTTCAAAAGGTGATTTCTCAAAATTTTCCTTTCCTATCGAATTCATTGAGGCGATTTTGTATTCCAACGGTTTTTAAATTCAATTTTTTTCTACCCGATCTCTAGCTAACGCTCTAGCTAACAATTTGAAAGCAGAATTTGGAGAATTTGAGTTTTATAAATCGAATCGAAAGCTTTTTCGTGGTGAGTATCGAATTTCTCGAAGAGAAAGCAATGATTCGATCTCCTTTTTCGAAGCAATGTTTATTAAACCCCATCGTTTCTCGCTTTTCTCCACAGATTTTATACAGAAAATTGTACAAAATCGTAGCTAACTATTTTGAAGTCTAATTTAAGAGATGAGCCCTTCAATTTTCCTTTTATTTCTCCTTTTTCACTCAAATCTTTCCCTCGACTTGACTGTTTTTAATTTAACGCATTTCTTGTCGATCTCCGATTCGGAAAACGTGATGAGATTCGCAAAAATCGTTTATGAAAAGGGACTGAAAAAGCGGGAAATCAATGGAAGAGTTGAGGAATGGAGTAAAAGAAAAAAAGACGATGTACAGGTGGGGAAAGAAGATGTTAAAGCTGTTAAGACTGCTGTTAAAGCTGCTGTTAAAGCTGTTAAAGCTGCTGTTAAAGCTGTTAAAGCTGTTAAGGCTGCTGTTAAAGCTGTTAAAGCTGTTAAAGCTGTTAAGGCTGCTGTTAAAGCTGTTAAAGCTGCTGTTAAAGCTGTTAAAGCTGTTAAAGCTGGTGTTAAAGCTGAAGGCGCGGAGTTAGCATGTCGGGAATGATTGGCGCTGGGATTCGAACTCCGGACTTTCGAACTTTCGCTTACCGGGACGAACGCTCGACCGTTGAGCTACACCGAAACGGATCCGATTTCCGCCAAGATAGGGTCTTATGCTTTGCTCTCGTAGTGGGGATCCGAATCAGTAATGCCCTGGCTTAGAGCCTGTGGGTTTGGGCTCACAAGTGGGTCAACCCCTTCTTCTTGCACCATACAGTCAATGATCTTGCAACAGTGATTCATTGCTGTGTAAAATGAAGAATTAAGTCCGCCAGGAAGGGTTCGTTTGCAAGTACAAAGCCTCAAAGTACGCCTCAAAGTACGCCTCAAAGTAGGCCTCAAAGCACGCCCCAAAGCACCCCTCAAAGTACATCACAAAGTACGCCTCAAAGTACGCCTCAAAAGCCTGGATGATCTCTCTTTCCCAATTTCAAACCAATTACACCATACAATTGTCAGAAAAACGAGAAATTTAGTGCGCCATAAAGCGTGCGTTTACACGTTTAAGCACGCTTAAAGAACACTTTCCAGAAATCACTTTGTTCAGTTCAAAAAGAGTCATTGAAATCAAACAAAGTAAGAAAAAAATCAAACAAAGAAATGAGCTTTTAAACTGAAATACAGTAAATGCAACGAATATTCAACATTGATCGTTGATTGACAGCATTGATTCTTGATTGACAGCGTTGATTGTTGGTTGACAGCGTTGATTGTTGATTGACAGCATTGATTGTTGATTGACAGCGTTGATTCTTGATTGACAGCATTGATTGTTGATTGACAGCGTTGATTGTTGATTGACAGCGTTGATTGTTGATTGACAGCATTGATTCTTGATTGACAGCATTCATTGTTGATTCACAACATTCATTGTTGATTGACAGCATTGATTGTTGATTGACAGCGTTGATTCTTGATTGACAGCGTTGATTCTTGATTGACATCATTGATTGTTGATTCACAACATTCATTGTTGATTGACAGCATTGATTCTTGATTGACAGCATTCATTGTTCAACATTATTCAACAACAATCTCAATTTTACCATTGGACAAGCTTTATCATTTGAAGTTAGGAGTAGAAAGTTAAAAGCTAAAAAGATAGCTGAATAGCTGAATCAATAGCCGTTAAACCTTTTCTTTTTCCGACCGAATAAACCGTTAAACCTTTTCAGACCGAATACAAGCGTTTCCTTTCTGAACGAAAATATTCCCTCACGATCGCCGAATTCAATTTAAAAACCGAAAAGATGAAGGTGAAAATGTGCCTGCCGAAAGTGATGGAAGTGCTTCAAATGAACAATTTGGGATATTGGGAAAAGATTCGCAAATTGAAAGTCGGTATTGGAAAGTAGGAGAAAGATTATAAGAGAAAGAAATTCAGCCGATAAACGCTCGTTGCGGGAAAGTGCCCACGAAATTGATCCGGAAATTCATCGAAGAGTACGGACTGGAGTTCAATCCTTTTGAGATATTTAGGTAAGCCTTTTTTGTACTGCATACGGTACTATAGTTAGACAGAACTTTTGAACTCGACTTTAACAGTACCCTTAGCTTAAAGCTTGGCCTTGTCAAATTGTGAGCCATTGCCATGACTTTGGCTTGGGCTTGGACTAACCCTAGGCTTGGACTAACCCTAGGCTTGGACTAACCCTAGGCTCAGTACTAATGCCGAAAGTCAGAAAAAGCGAAGTGCCTTTGTGGAAAAATCCTTTTTCTTCTTTTCTGGACTGTTTTGGTTCTGATCTTAGCTTACAATTGGTCTGACTTGTCCCGATTAACCCAGGACCTGGCCGGCTCTATTCTGATTTTGGTCCTGAGTCTGAGTCTGCCCTAACTCGTGCTAACCCTTCTGCCATGTTCTAGTTTGGTTTGGCACAGGCTTGCTCGAGCTTCGTAGCTTTGTTTTGACCCGGCTTTATACTACAGTCTACGGCTTAGCCTGGGCCTGGACTGGGTTTATAATTCTGGGCACTGACTGAACGGACCTTTCCGAGGCCTGCACCTGATGTAGGATTTCTTCAAACCTAATCACTTGAAAAAGTTTCCATCTTACTAATTTCATTCATTCAATTCCATTCATTCAATTCCATTCATTCAATTCAATTCATTCAATTCCATTCATTCAATTTCATTCATTCACAGAATCAATCACCCGGACCTCGAGGCTCCATGGGTGCAATGGCCGACGATTTCGATGCCCGAAAGGATCGCCTTTATGGACATTATTCAAAAAGTAAGCAATTCAAAAAGGTAATCTTAAGTCTATCATTGAATTTGCACCTTAAACAAAGAGTATTGTATTGTTTTTATTTCAGAATATCTCCGAATCCCAAATGAAAGACGAGATTGATCAGTGGGGAGCCAAATTGGCTCCGAAAGTTAAGGTTTCTCAAAAAAAAATGATTAAATTTCAAGCTAAAATCGAATCTTTTAGGAGATGTTCGATGTTTGGCATGCAAATTACACAAAATCCCTGAAAAAGGGTCGCTTGGAAATCGTGGATTCGGTGGAGAAAATCTCAAAATCAATCGATGAAATCGTTGAGCTGAGAAAAGATTTCGAGTTGACTTTCGTCGAAGAGCACTCCAAAATCGCGGTAGAATTACCGTTTTCGAAGAGATTTACTGTACTGAAAAGAACTTTTAGACAATTCTGAGAAAATTGACGAAACGACAACGACATCTGTTACGCGAGGTCGCCTGGATGGAGTTGAGGGTTCGTGGACAAGCTTTGAGATGTAATTTGTGCTCTAAATTATAAACACATCCCTTCTAATGCACTAGATTTTCATTTTTCTCAAGATATTGGAAGAAAAATGAAGATTTCAGTGCGCCAGCCAGGATGCGTTTACAAAAACGAGCACAGAGTGCACTCTGTGCTCGAACGTTGCCTGCCTAAAAGCACGGTTAACTGAATGGCTTGAATTTGTATTTAAAACTCAAAATTTAAACGACTGAACAGTTTCTGACATACGCAAATCCTCTATTAGACTGGCATACAGCTCTATTAGAGGATTTCAGTCTAATCTTCAGAATCATATACTTTAATATATGCTTCTGAATCAAATGTAAACCAAATGAACCTCTTTGCATCACCAAAAAATACATTTCCATCAATAAAAGATGAGCTTCTAATTTTATTTAAACAAAAACAAAACACAAAGATCAAACATGATAAAGTATCTACCCAATTAACTCTAATGGCGCATCAAAATCAAGGTTGCATTCATCATTTTCGATGGTATCTAGTCCTTCAAGAAGAGCCAAAACCACTTCTTCCATTCGAGCATTCATCAGCTTTTGATATCCAGTCGGGATAGGTCCACTCGTTTTGTAACAATGAACGATCTGGTCCGCCGATCCATCGATTCATCCTTTTCTTCAATCATTGCCGTTTTAACACTTGGCCATCGAAAACCCACGTTTGCTCGTGAGTGATTGTTCGAAAGAGGAAGCCGACCATGCCGGATCAAAAGATCGTCGTCACGAATTGCTTAATTTTAATCCCATACAATTCACAATTTGATTCCTAGGAAAAAGTGAAACGGGCAAAATCTGAACTAAAGTTTACGGTAACTTTCCAAATTAGCCACATTTTAGAAAACGGATAACCAATAAGCTAAGTTACAGTAAACCAAGTCGAAGGTGATGATTTTAGACGAAGAAGATGATCTTAGACTTGGTTTACTGTAGTTTAGCTTGTTGGTTATCCGTTTTCTAAAATGTGGCTAATAATAGGCTAATAATAAGCTAATACACTTATTCTTAACTTATTCTTAACTTATTCTTAACTTATTCTTAACTTATTCTTAACTTATTCTTAACTTATTCCATTTTCTAGGTCCTCGACGAGTATCCCCTTTCCAAATACGGTCTTCCCAAGCAAATCGCTTATCCGTTGAGGGAAATCGATCTACTTTTTAGTGAACATTGATTTTTAATTGTAAGATTTATTCAAGTTTTGTATCTGATCTTTTAACCCGATTGTGGAATAAATATAATAAAAAAGTGAAGGAATTGGCAAGAAAAGGTAGATTTCCGGATAGGCGATTGAACCCTCAACCTTTTCCTTTCCGAAAAGCGATGAGACAAGCACGCACCTGGCAAGTAATGAGCGGAAATTATGCATAGTTAAACCATCAATATCCCATTGGCCTCTTCCAGCATCAGACACAGTCACAGTGGCATTGATTTCAGAGATTTCGTTGATTTCAGAGAAATAGTGGACTCTTTTGATGAAACAAAACGTGTATTTAAAGAAGGTAAATGTGTGGGAAATGTGTGGCAAATGATGTGTGCAAAAAGTGTCTTTAAAGAATCATTTCATTTGGCGTCATTTCATTCGACGCCATTTCATTCGGCGCCATTTCATTTGGCGCCATTTCATTCTCATCAACCCAATAGAATCTTTGAATGTTAGCTTTCTGATATAAGATTTCTGATATAAGGTTCCTGATATAACGTTTCTGATATAAGATTTCTGATATAAGGCTTCTGATATTCTGTGACGTTTCTGATATATTGCAATTGATTGATCAATTTTTGAGTAACTCTTCGTAAGTAAGCTATTCTGTGAATTGAATTCATCAAGTTCTTGAGCTCTAAAAATATGAAATGATGAGATAAATCAAAAAGTTTTCCTGACTTTGCCTTTTCTAACAACAAAATGCGGTCATACAGAGCACCATGCTGAAATTGCCAATTCGCGAAAGTCTCCCATCTCTACAAGTAAGCTAATAAAACGTATCAAATAGTTAGAAATGAAATTATCTTTAATTTGAAGATTTTTACAACATAATGCAGCTGAATATGCAGCTGAATATGCAGCTGAATATGCAGCTGAAAGCTGATCAATCCATGAAGAAAGTCAAGTAAAATTGCTGTTCCAAGCAGGATTTTGTGGCTGTCAAGCAGGGCTGCCAAGTGCCAAGTTGCTAGAAATAGAAAAGTTTTTCATTTTCATTTACGTCAACAATTGTAAGATTTATTCAAGTTTTGTATCTGATCTTTAACCCGATTCTGGCATAAATAAAAGACAATTTCATTTCGACGATCGATGCGTTTTCATGTGTCGATGGAGATTGCCGCTTTGCGTGAAACGCATCAAACACATCGGACACGAGTACGGCTTTAAACCTGAATTTAAAGCTAATGAAGATTTGATGTGGCCTCCTAGCCCTGATCTTTAACGCTCCCATCTATGAGACCCTGTCCTGGCCTTGCAACCATGACTCCAACTATAAACTGAGCTTGTCTCGGCCTTGCCTAACCTAGTCCTAGGCTAGATCTGATCTAACTCTAGGCTAGATCTGATCTAACTCTAAGCTAGATCTGATCTAACCCTGATCTGCTTTGCTTTTACTGCTCTGGATTGCTCTATTATGGTCTTGAACTCATTCCTTGATCTCCTAATGAAACTTTGGTTCTTTCTGACCTGATCCTGGGCTCTAAGCTGGATCTGTCCCAGTCCTGACCTAGTCCTAAGCTAGATCTAACCTAACCCTGATCCTAACCCTGATCCTAACCCTGATCCTAACCCTGATCTTAGCCCTGATCCTAACTCTGATCCTAACCCTGATCCTAACCCTGCTTTAGTTGCTTGGACTTGAACTCTTAAAGTAATTTTGACTTGTCCTGTGACCCTGATTTTGTAGCCATGTGACCCTGATTTTGTGGCCATTTTTGGGTCATGTGACCCTGATTTTGTGGCCATGTGACCCTGCTTTGTGGCCATGTGGCCCTGATTTCAAGTGAAACCTGTATGCGTCCGGAGATGCTTTGTGAGAGTGGAGCTATCAGTGAACGCTTTGTCACAATGAGGACAAGGGTACGGTCGCTCGCCGGTGTGAGTTCTGCAAAAATATCTATTTGATAAAACTATTGCTTAAAAAGGTATAGTTTAATAGAAATCCTGAAGCTTTTCCGCTTTTTAAGCTCACCTTTTATGTGTGACCAAAGAGGAGCTCTGTGAGAAAGGGCGCTGGCAAACCGAACAGGAGAACGGTTTTTCACCTGAATAACTTATTTCCAATCGAAACTATTATTCATTAGTGTCTTTTCTACCTAGAAAATACCTAGAAAGGCTAGAAAATATGTCTAGAAAGGCATCTATTTTAGAAAACTACTGTAACACAGCCCGTAGCCATGGCTTCGGTGCTTTTGGGAGAATCGCTAGAGCTTTGTCCAGAAGCGCCCAATCAATTTACACCAAAAAAGAAAATTTAGCAAAATCTTTAGGCTATATCATGGCTACAATGAAATTTTTTTTTAAATGGAGCGAGCGAGGCTCAAAGTGGCTCAAAGTTCGGTTGTCACGACTTTTTTTCGCCTCTGCTCAACTTTAAGCCTCTCTAGCTAGCTCCAAAAGCTTTAAATCAGTTCTTTAGCTTATGTAAACCGACACGGAGAATCGATTGGTGGGGGTTAAAAGTTTTCTGGATAATGACTAAGGATCTAAAATCTCTGTCTTTTTGAAAACGAGCTCGAGACTACTCCGACTTTCGTTCGTGCTGTACTAGATTGATTGGATATCCTTTTATTTGATTACTGAATAAAAATAGTTAATATCTATTAGGTTGATGCATAAGTCTTTTCGTTTTTTTCGTACTTCCGCTTAAAACCAACAAATGCACCAATTAAACTACGGTTGATTTCATTAGAAAAAGCAATTATTTTTCTGCAAAATAACATTAAAACGGGTTTAAAAATATTTAATGCCTGGATTTTCATTTTTTTTTTTTTTGAAAACATTTTTTTGGACAAAATTACCACAAATTTGACTGCAAAAAGCTTTTCCGAATGAAATTTTTAATGTAGAAAATCGTGAAAAATAGCAGATCGACGGAGTGGGGCCGTCTAGGAGCTCTTCAAGCTCTTCAAGCGCTCTTCAAGCGCTCTTCAAGAGCTCTTCAAGCTCTTCAAGCGCTCTTCTCGATTTAACGAAGCTTTCCTCGTTAAATCTATCTAGTTAACTAGTTATCTAGATATTCTAGATATTCTATTAGGTTGATGCAAAAGTTTTTTTCATTTTTTTCGTCTGCCGTTTCAAGCCAACAAATGCACGAATTAAACTACGGTTGATTTCATTAGAAAAAGCAATTATTTTTCTGCAAAATAACATTAAAACGGGTTTAAAAATATTTAATGCCTGGATTTTCTTGAGAGTATGAAGTCGGGTAGTCAAAAAGGGCTAACTCGATGATGCGGTTTAGACACCTTAGCTAAAGAAAACCTATCTTCGTGTCAATAGATAAAAGATAGAGAAAAAAAACGTTTGATATTTCGCCAAAATTTCAGAGAAATTCATTCAGCCAATTTTTCCGTAGAGTTTTTTATAGATTTTTACGAAAAAGGCGTTTTTCACTCTCGAATTTGCTTGAAAGTGAACCGAAATTCATTTAAAAAGATGCAAATTCAACAAAAAAACACTTTTTATTTAGAGAAAAGCATAGGTTAATTGGTGAATTTGTTACTTTTTAACAGAAGTACGAAAAAAACGAAAAGACTTATGCATCAACCTAATATATCTATATCTTATTTAAAGCTAGATAATTTTAGATTTTAATAGATTTTAATAGATTTTAATCTTCAGAAAGCGATAAACTTAACGATAAACGATAAACTTAAATCTTCTCCACTCACCAGTGTGCACCCGTTTGTGTGCAGTCAAATTGGCCGCCTGGGAGAACGACTTTCCGCATATCTAAAGATTTAAAAACTACAGTATTTTGCACAGCTGAATATCTTTTTGATATTTAGTATATTTAGTTTTATTTCAAATTCTTCTTACATGACAAGGAAATGGTTTTGTGGCCTCTTTCCGTGAGACTTTCAAAATACTCCGCGAAACGCTCGATAACGGTTTCGTCACCGAAGCCCTAAAGATCTATTGAAGAAAAGCAATTTTTAAAAAATCAAACCCGTATGAAATATGGGCATTTAATCCGGTGACTGATGGAAGAGAATGGGGATTTGTTGAGGAAAGAGATGGAGGAAGGGAAGAAGTGGACGAGGGGAGGCCAGTGAGGTGCACGGTATGCAGAGGAGTGCCTAGAGATTCGAGATTAGATATTTCGAGATTAGAGATTCGAGATTAGATCTTCTTATTGGGTTGATCAATAAGAAATGAGTCACGTCAAAGGAATCAAAGAAATGAGTCAAAGGGAAATTTTCCCGTAAAGTTTTAGTTGACGCTCATCACCATTAGAAGAGACAACAGACTTCCCTTATTTCAAAACACTTTCATTGGGCATTCTTTCTTATATCTTTATTAACTATTTTTCCGATTAATTTTTCGATTAATGTTTCGATTAATATTTCGATTAATGTTTCGATTAGTGCAAATTTGCCAAATTGGTATCTTCAGCATGTTATGCTTTCGCTAAATGCTTAGCTTCAATCTTATCTTCTTCAAGCCTAGCTTTAGACCACAAAAGTATATGGTCATGACTCCCTCTTCTAAACTGTATGTAATTGATGGTTTTACAAGTTGGGGACAAATCTTTGCTCAAAAGCGACCGCCTCGGGAAACCGGTTGAGGTTTTTATTGGAAGTTATTGGATACTGAGAGTGATTTCGTTGATTTTGATAGAGATTTCGTTCTATGCCTTGATCTATGCCTTGATTAAATCTTGTTTCAAGGAGTCAAGTAGACTTTAGACCTAGATAAATCATATTTGGAATCGATATCTAGATCCATTATCAAATTTCTTCAGCCGGCTGACTGATGCTTAGATTGTGTTCCTCACGAGTAATGCATTTTTTGCGAGTAATGCGAGTAAAACTCACACTTAGGAAGAAGTGCGTACTTTTAGGGAATTGTAAAATTATTGCAAAACTATTGCAAAACTATTGCAAAAAAAAAAACCCATGAGCGACGCCTTATATACGACGCCTTATATACGACGCCTTTTAAAGATATTCAGCCATTTAATCGAATTGGTGGCAAATTCCCTGCAAATGTAAAGATGTTCAATTTACTCGACGTGTAAAGAGGATTACTCGTAGCTACTCGACCAAAAAACGTCGATTAATCGCGTCAAAAATCACTCATACAAATTTTACTCGAGTAATCGATTCCTCTCGAGGAAAACACTCTAATCCCAGTGCTTACCATTCATTTGTAAACCCATAGTTGCTGTTGAGGTTGTCGGCAGCGTATGGAGAGTTGTGTGAGCATGAAGAGTTGTGTGAGCATGAAGAGCGGGCAGGGTAGCTCCATTTGAGGTGAATGCTCCAGTTGAAAGAGTGGGCAATGAATGAACGACACCCGGCGAGGACATCGTTGTCCAATCGAATCTCGCGCCACCATTTGGACGATTCCAATCGCTACGCCATCCATAAGGGATCCTGCAATGCAAACTGCAAATAGGGTACTTAAAATTAGCTCAAATTTCTCTTAGCTACTCTTAGAAACTTTTAAGTGCCGAATTTATTTGATAACAATGGATCTCTGGAGATTAGACTTGCCTTACCGGTTCTACCGGTTCTACCGGTTAAGCAAAGTTTACTAATGTCTCTTGGCACCTAGATTACCCGTTGACTTTAGTTATAAACAATACCAGTACTTCTATATTACTCAAATCTTTCGGATCAATTTTTTGCGTTAAATTTAGCTTTATTTTTGCGAAAAATTTCACATTCTGTCAAAAAATTGTGTTTAAAAATCAGTAAAATTGAGAGAACAGTGACTCGATTTGTCTCTCAATTCTCTCAGAATTCATTACCCCAAACAACCTCTATTTGGTATCATTTTAAAGCCTGAAATGTTCTCTTTAAAACTATATCAAAAGTTAAGAATAATATCGTCTTTAGACAAAGTAATGGCCTCTCAAAGCGGGACGTTTACCTCTGTTACGGAGCAACCATATGCTGAAAGCCTAGTTATTCTCACCACTTTAGTCTACTTTTATTGTAAAAGTTACGCCAAAGATACGTCTGAAGGGTTCTTATATACCTAATTTTATGCAAATTTCAAACTTCCTTAAGATCTCTAACATGTACCAAAGACAAGAAGTACCAAAGAAGTACCAAAGAAGTATCAAAGACAGACTTTTTCAGTACCAAAGACTCTAAACAATGGAAAAGCTGATCCAAAAGTCGAACTGACTAGAAAAAGACACGAAATCAAAGTGAGTTTTTGTTTGGAATAGCTGCAAAATGCTAGAAGTTGCTCTAGAAAAAACAAAAAGCCGCGCCAAGGATCGAACCCTGATCCTGTGGGTGGTAGTCTAATGCGTTATCCACTAGGCCACCAAGGTCCTTCCTGCCCTCAAAACGAATGCTTTAAAAGGCTCCTTGCCTCTCAAAGCATTCGTTTAAAGCATCCGTTTTCTACTGAGCTCTGCAAATGATGCGAGGATGAAGCCCGTAAATTGTGCTCTCCAAAAAATGAGTGAAGCTCGATTTGTGTCACGGGATGACCCCCAAGTCTTTGCGATAAGTGCTGGGGTTTCCAAAATTGGCAAAAATGAAATAAGGGTTTCAAGGGGCGATATCTCTATTCAAGAGATCTCTATTTGGGGGGTACACACCCAGGGTTTTCCCCGATTCGGTGCCCTCTTTCGAAACCCTGTCCACCATAAGGGTTCACCAAATTTGCCCACTATATAATGCTAAATTCCTCTATTTTCTATTGCTTCATTTGCTCAAAAAATGTTTCGGGTTTTTCCTTTGCTACCATTTACTTTTTACTTTGCTTTACTACTATTTTAACTCCAGACTCCAGACTTTAACTCCAGACTCCAGACTTTAACTCCAGACTTAAGTGACATTTCGGGACAAAGAATTTGTGCTTCATTTGTGAGCAAATGAAGCACAAAGTCCGTCCGACCTATCTTTGTCTTAAGAATATCTTTATCTTAAGCATATCTTTATCTTAAGCATACCTTTGTCTTAAGAATACCTTTGTTGGCGGTGAGCTTTAATTGAATTTCATTTTACGACTACGATAGCTTTTTAGAATACGATGCTTTTTAGACTACGATGCTTTTTAGAATACGATGCTTTTTAGACTACGATGCTTTTTAGACTACGATACTTGTACAGAATATAATAGATTTAGAATGTGACAGCTTTTAAGGAAGGTACACTACTGGACAATGAAATATCATATTTGAAAAAAGATCATCACTTTCGCGCGTCTGTAACTCCCTTGCCTTTACCGTATTTCTAAATATTAATATTACCATTGTGTAGCCCTTGAAAAGAGTTTTTAGAAAATGTATAACACTAATAGTTTAAACTCAAAGACAAGGGAGTTACAGAGGCGCGAAAGTGACGATCTTTTTTCAAATATGATATTTCATTGTCCAGTACTGTAGCTTTAGAATGCAGTAGCTTTTTAGACTAGGAAAGCGGTAGAATACGGTAGCTTTAGAATGTTATGGCTTTTTAGACTACGGAAGCGTTTGAGGGTACGGTAACGGCAGCTAGGGAACAGTAGCTTTCTAGGTTACGGTAACGGCAGCTTTTTAGACTACGGAAGCTTTGTAGGGTACGGTAATGGCAGCTTTTTAGACTACGGAAGCTTTATAGAATATGGCAGCTTTCTAGTGTACGGTAACGGCAGCTTTTTGGACTACGGAAGCTTTGTAGGGTACGATAACGGTAGCTTTTTAGACTACGGATGCTTTGTAGAATATGGCAGCTTTCTAGGGTACGGTAACGGCAGCTTAGGGAACGGTAGCTTCTTAAGGAACGGTAGCTTTTAAGGGAATGGCAGCTTTTCCTGAAGCTTCCATTTATTATCAAGTTCTATTCTTATTCATAGTCATTGAATTAATGCTTCTATCTAGCTCATTAGTACTTCAGTACTTTAGACTGTAGCAACTTTGTGAAACAAAACTTACAATGGTTCCCCAGGCTCGCTGGGTGCTTGATAGAAATCGTATTGAGTGGAGGCGCCGATTTGTGGGAGATATGTCGACTCGAAGTAGTCATTTCGATCCGGTGGGTAAATGTAGGACATGAGCTGAAGAAATATGATGAAGAAAGATTGATATTGATCCAAAGAAAAGTTAGAAAATTGATGAATTTGCGGTAGAAAGGGTGCGTTTACAGATTGAAGCACAAAGTACTCTCCAAGGGGAATCACCGGGTATGAAATAGTTCTTTACGAAACAGTACGAAACAGTACTTTTAAGCTTTCTAGGATTACTGTAGATATGTACTAACTTTTAAAAAAGTATCTAATACTATTGTAAGCAAATTCTAGATCATTGAGATAAAGCTTTAGGTAGCGAGATCCTCTAAGCACCATTGTAACCCATTGAGCTTATAGTTAGCCTGGGTTACTGTAGCTTATAGCTAGCCTAGGTTACTGTAACTTATAGTTAGCCTGGGCTACTGTAACATATAGCTAGCCTGCGTCACTGTAACTTATAGCTAGCCTGGGTTACAGTAACTTATAGCTAGCCTAGGTTACTGTAACTTATAGTTAGCCTGGGCTACTGTAACTTATAGCTAGCCTGGGTTACTTATGGTTAGCCTGGGTTACTGTAGCTTATAATTAGCCTTATAGTGGTACTGTAACTTCCTCCAAGCTAACATTATCCCAAATAAAAACTCTAATTTATTAAAAAGTGAATAAAACCACAGAATAGCTCATCTAAAGCTAAGATTTACAAAAAAATCAAATAGTTGAACTAGTCAAGGCCCAGTAAATGAGATAAAACTGACTAAAACCCTTATTGAACCCACATTTTTAGTTTTAAAATCAAAACAAGCGCATTTTTCTGATAAATTTTAGAGAAATACTTGTTGACAAAAGGAAACCCTGTAAGATGGGGTACTGTAGTGTCTGGAAGAAAGAGAGATAGAGAAAGAAGAAAGAGAGAAAGAGAAAGAAGAAGAAAGAGATAATCCCCTTGGATAAATGGATCCACTCTGAACCCCTGGATACCCCTAAGGCTTCACAAACCTATGATTAAGTGGGTTTCTTTCGAATATCTTCTTCCTTTCTTTTCTCATAATCGCTTGATCGCAATCCGGAGATCAGGTGGCAGTAACGGTTGGTGAAAAAGATTCAGAAATTGAGAAGCTTTCAACGGAAATCTTTCAGGCCTTTCAGGCCACTAAAACTGCTAAATTTTCGGATTTTGGGAGTGTTTTTGGGAAATTTGGCAGAAAATTTGCATAAAAGTTCATAATTTGCAAAATTGATGGACAAATATAAGATTTTTTGATGCTACAGCAATAAGAATAGGCCCAATTTTGCTAATTTTTAAAAGAACAGATTCTCCGAGTGACCAGTAGTCAAAGAATGATCTCTTCTCCACTTAAAGTCTTCACGCTGGCGCACAATTATGAAAAGTCGATTTTTTGCCTCCAACTCAACACCCAATCATTCAATTACCCTAATTTCATATTTATACAAAATTTCAACTCAATTTCTCCGATCAATTTCGATTTCGATAGCTCAGAAACACAATGTTACGCCTTTTTTATCGTATCTTCGAAGTTCAGAGGTGTCAATCACTCAGCAGAATCGTTTTTTGACAACTTTTGCACATATTTTGGAGAATTTCTCGCTTTGTATTTAATTATTTTTGCTTTTTATTAAGAAATTGATTTATTTGGATTTTCTGAAGGATTTATCAGAAGATTTTCCAGTATTTCAAAATTTTGAGAGTCAATCGTTGAATTCCGTGAAAGCTGAGCAGAGCAGTGACCTGTAAAGTTAGCAAAAATGTTAGCTGCATTCTAGAAAGACCAAAAGAATTTTATATTTACCGTATTTCTCTATTTCTCTAATAGTAGTGCACCCCGGCGAGCCGAGTTGGTGACTATTTTACGGTTTCCAAAGTTTTCACAGAAGCTCAACACTCAAATTCCCCACAAGATCTCATCGTCAGCTACATTTTCCGACCCCACATCGACACAAAAAAAAGAAAACTTAATGGGAGCCGAACCGCCGACCTAAAGATTTACATTCCAACAAGTTATCCGCTACACTACACAAACATTGCTTCGTCATGTGCGCGGAAGCGTTATAAGAGCGGCCAAAAAGCTTGCTTACCAAATTCCTTGCGATTCCGATCTATTTAGCAAGAAAGGACAGCAGATTCGGAACCAGCGTAAAATTCTGCATCGGATGGTCTAAGTCTCATTTCGATTGACCACCTTGATTTCGTGACCTTTCCTTGTCAATCTAAATCGGAAATAACATATACATGTTTTCAGACGACCCATAACGACACAGCATCAAGAATACAATGAGTTCCAGTCGGCTACTGACGGAAAATACCGTACTAGGCCAGCTCAGCCTTTGGTACACGGACTGGCTGGCTCTGGAGTACTGTATTATTGGCCATGAATACTGTACTAGCGACCGGGAGTCCTTTATTAGGCCAGGCATACTGGACTATTGGTTTAGGCTTAGGCTTGGACTTAGGCTTAGGCTTAGGCCATGAGTATTGTACTACTTCAACACAAATTCTCACGCTCCACACAAACTTTTCTTTTGACTCCCTAAAAGCATCAGACTCCAGAAGCAAACATGTTTCGGGTGTCTCTTTGCATTCACCAGAAAGCGATGACAAATAAAAGCAAAGTAACAAGCGGCTTTCACTTCATAGCACTCTCACTCGTAGCTGTACTTTATGCTCAAGATTGTAAACATACCGCTGCTAGTGCACTGAATTCTCTAGGTTCTAATTTTCTCTATGAATTCTCTAAACCATTTCTTCAAGAATTTGAAATTTGAAGAGGCCAAAAAGTTGGCCAAATTTGGCCAAAAAGCGGTTTGTTTGAGAGCACAAAGAACAGCCGAAAAGAATAGCTTTGAATTTGTTAGGAAACCAGGGTTTTGCCATAATACTCTTTCTATTAAAAGCTAGTCCATAATATTCTATTAAAAACTAGTCTACTTGATACTGTGAGAAAGTGTGGGCAAGCGGGTGAAAAGGGTCAACGGGGGACCCCTCAAAACAAACAGATCACCCCAAGTCCAGGAAAAAAAAAACAGAGAATGAGTAATGGTTTGGGGTTTGAGTGTGGCAATTTTTGAGTATTTAAGAAAAAATAGAGAAGACTTTAAGTGGAGAAGAGATCATTTCTTGACTACTGGTCACTCGGAGAATCCGTTCTTTTTTTAAAAATTAGCAAAATGGGGCCTATTCTTATTGCTAGTATTTTCTTCGGTTTTTATTCGAGTGGTAAGTTGAGTTTAGAGCTGATACCAAATAACAAACTTGGACAAATAAAGGACTAACGATGTAGAGACTTGTCGATTTAATTGAGTCAATGTTTCTTGCTGATTTGTTACCATTTCAAATTTTCTCGTAGACTTCTTGCACATCCAATAGTTTTTTTGGCAATATGTGGAGTAGGAGTTAGTAGTTAATGTCCTGAATTAAGACAAATACAGGATGCACCGCGCCTTCACTGAAAAATCCATTGAGTTGGGGTCTGGAGAGCTAGGTGACCACTCAGAAAAAGGAATCCGGGAAATTCTTTTGGCAGAACTCTTGGACTTTCTTAGATTTGTGAACCGGTCTCTCTCTTGGTGATAAGTCCAAATGCGATTTCCAAAATGTTTACGAGCCCAGGGCAAGAGTTCATCCTTGACAAGAGCCAAGTAGTTGTCAGAATTGACTTTGATGCCTTGGGGAAGAAATCTTTCCTGTTGAGTTTTTCCTGTCGCAGTGATGCCGCCAAAAAGCATCACAGAAGCTGGATGTGCACTTCGAGAAACCGTAGCATTCGCTTGAGATTTGGCCCATACTCGCTCATTTTGCTAGTTAAGAAGGCCTTCAACGGTAAATATCTTTTCATCTGTGAACAAGATATTGTGATGGTCGATTCCCTTAAAGCGCATCAATAACTGATCTGCCCTCAATTTTCGACTGTTTCTAGTGGCATTCGAAAGAAGTTGAGCCTTGTTTTCTTGTTTCTGGTCGTGATGGTCAAATTATTATTTGGCTTATTTGGCCTATCTAGCCAAAATAGGCCAAATAAGGGAAGATCTGATCCCAAAAATTTGGGCATAGTGACGGCAAAAACGACAAAGCCGGCTCCTTTTCCTTTTACTCAGTGAAGTCTGTTCTCGGGGGGGTATCTATCGGAGCCATGTGCCAGATGGAGAGCGATTACGTGCCCGCACAAAGAACACTTCGAGCAATGACATGGATTTTCTTTAGCTTTGTAAATGACTTTTAAAAAAGATATTCAGTTGTAAATTTGTATCTTGGGGTTTTCGGGGTCGAGCAATCGATTGAAGCCAATCATTTTATCGAATCTATCAATTGGAACTTAGATTCATGCGCTCGAAAGTTTAGTTTAGTTTTTAGTTTAGTTTTAGTTTAAATTAATTGAGTTTAGAGCTATTTTAGTTTCAAAACTTTAACGGAAAATCCTCCAAAAATAAGTTCTTGCCAGTTTTTGAATGCAAGAAAGACAACCCGACTTTTCAGTTCTCTCCCAGACGCCAAATCCGTGCATTTTCGAGAACGGAGCCATCGCTGCAAACTGGAGTGTAAGGCAAAAAAAAAAAATTGTTACAACGCGACAAATTCTAGGTGGCAAACGGAATTGTTTACGTGGAATTCATCAATAAAAATCTTGCCAACAATCAATGGACAGGGATAGCTTTTGGAGATTTATCGGTACGGTGCAGAGCTTCAGTACGGTGCAGAGCTTCGGTACGGTACGGAGCTTCGGTACGGTGCAGAGCTTCGGTACGGTGCAGAGCTTCGGTACGGTACGTTGCAGAGCTTCGGTACGGTGCAGAGCTTCGGTACGGCACGGTGCAGAGCTTCGGTACGGTACGGTGCAGAGCTTCGGTACGGTACGGTGCAGAGCTTCGGTACGGTACGGAGCTTCGGTACGGTGCAGAGCTTCGGTACGGCACGGTGCAGAGCTTCGGTACGGTACGGAGCTTCGGTACGGTGCAGAGCTTCGGTACGGCACGGTGCAGAGCTTCGGTACGGTACGTTGCAGAGCTTCGGTACGGTACGGAGCTTCGGTACGGTGCAGAGCTTCGGTACGGTACGTTGCAGAGCTTCGGTACGGTACGGAGCTTCGGTACGGTGCAGAGCTTCGGTACGGTACGGTCCAGAGCTTCGGTACGGTACGGTGCAGGGGAAATTGTCCACATTTTAGGGAAACCTCGAGACTGTGCTTATGACGATTCGGAACTATCGAGTCTCACTCAATACCGGTTGGTTATACAAAAGAAACTCTCGGCTCTCGAAAATGTGTCAATTTTCAAAAGCTAACTCTGGTCACCCTGTAACATTACAAGGTACAGAGGATACTTTATTGAGAAAAATGTACCCAAATAATAAAAATAACAAACAAACAAATGCTGATTTATTTCCGGAAAACCTAATATTTATTGTATAGGTCTTTTGGCGAACTCTGGCTACGTGATCTCTGTCGATCAACAGCCCGATGTGACGCCGATTTTCCTCAACTACAACAGTAAGTCGACAATGAAATGAGTGTAATGAAGTCGACAAATGAGCGTAATGAAGTCGACAAATGAGTGTAATGAAGTCGACAAATGAGTGTAATGAAGTCGACAAATGAGTGTAATAAAGTCGACAAATGAGTGTAATGAAGTCGACAAATGAGTGTAATGAAGTCGACAAATGAAAGTAATGAAGTCGACAAATGAGTGTAATGAAGTCGACAAATGATAAATGAAGTCGACAAATGAGTGTAATGAAGTCGACAAATGAGTGTAATGAAGTCGACAAATGAGTGTAATGAAGTCGACAAATGAGTGTAATGAAGTCGACAAATGAGTGTAATGAAGTCGACAAATGAGTGTAATGAAGTCGACAAATGAGTGTAATGAAGTCGACAAATGAGCGTAATGAAGTCGACAAATGAGTGTAATGAAGTCGACAATGAGCGTAATGAAATGAGTGTAATGAAATGAGTGTAATTAAATAAGGGTAATGAAATAAGCGTATTGAAATAAGCGTAATGAAATAAGCGTAATGAAATAAGGGTAATGAAATAAGGGTAATGAAATAAGCGTATTGAAATAAGCGTAATGAAATAAGGGTACAGAAATAAGCGTAATGAAATAAGGGTAATGAAATAAGGGTAATGAAATAAGCGTATTGAAATAAGCGTAATGAAATAAGGGTAATGAAATAAGCGTAATGAAATAAGGGTACAGAAATAAGCGTAATGAAATAAGGGTAATGAAATAAGGGTAATGAAATAAGCGTATCAGAATTCCTTAGAATCAGAAGCAATTAGAATCAATCAAAATTCAATCAATCGTATTGGAACGGTATTGGAACCTTATTGGTACCGTATTAGATCAAAAAAAGAACCGTATTGGAGCCGTATTCAAAATTCAATCAATCACAATTCAATCAAAATTCAATCAATCAAAATTCGATCGTATTTCAATTCGTTTTTCTTCTAGTGAACCGTTTGACGGCTCGTTTCCAGCGTCCTCTCTCAGCCACCGGTCCACGGGGTTTCTCATTGGATAATTGCGTCGATTGGAATGTAGGGAAATTTTTGTTTCAGATTACTGTATTGACGGAATACTGTATTGACAGAATACTGTAGAAATCACCGTAGAAATATTAACTTAAAGATACTGTGATAATCTGTCTGTAGTAAACATTTTTTCTTTCTTTCTTCTTCCTCTCTTTCTTCTTCCTCTCTTTCTTCTTCCTCTCTTTCTTCTTCCTTCCTTTCTTCTTCCTTTCTTTCTTCTTCCTTTCTTCTTCCTTGTCTTTCTTATTTCTTCTTGGGCAAAGAAGGAGCTGATAGCTCAGTGGTAGAGCATCGGCAAGCAGAGGTCGAGGGTTCAATTCCCTCTTCCAATTCAGTTCAATTCCAATTCCAATTCCAATTCCAATTCCAATTCCAATTCAGTTCAATTCAAAAACTTTACCATTAATTTCTTTTGCTTTGTTTATCAATTACTGCTAAAAATTACTCAGATTTGTTGGCTAGATCGATTAAATTTCGGGATTACTGTAGGATTACTGTAGAATTACTGTAAATTACTGTAGAATTACTGTAGAATTACTGTAGGATTACTGTAGAATTTAATATCATGATTAAATTTAATATTAATAACGCTCGAATTCAAATTTTAGTTTATTTCTGCGTCTCCCCCTAGCCCAGGCCAGGGAGGGTGTCGGAGCGGCGGCGCAGGGAAAACGGTTAGAACTGGATAATATAGTTCAATAATTTACAGAAATCAATATTCATACTTGATTAGATTTAGATTTAGATCAAAGAATTAAATACTCAGAATTAGGATTTGATCAAACACTTGTAGATAAATGTCTGCCCGAATCGTTTGGCAATCAACCACAACTCAAGCGCAAACCGCATACGACTACCCACAGAATCAGTGCCTGAGAAGTAAGAAACTCGTCAGAATTTGATTTAGAGATACTAGATTTAGAGATGGGTACACTAACATTTAGTAACTTGATAATTTCTTGATTACTGGGCCGATTAAGAGATCGGATTAAGAAGATCAGTCCCCAAAAAAGTCAATGACTTTTGTGGTCCATTATCAATATCCAATGACTTTTTTGGTCATGTCCAATGTACAATGACTTTTGGTCAATGTCCATATCAATGACTTTTTGTGGTCAATGTCAATGTCCAATGACTTTTTGGTCCAATGTCAATGTCCAATGACTTTTTGGTCAATGTCTAATGTCAATGACTTTTGGTCCAATGTCAATGTCCAGTGACTTTTTGAGCCAATGTCAATGAGCCACTGGTTCGCTCACGTCTTTTTGATTCCTCGGGACTTATCTTTCAATTTACAGGCCACAACATATATGATTTTGCGCTTGATTTATCTTTTGACTTTCTAAGACAATACATTTGCCTAACAAAGGAAACCTTCTCAAGTTAAACCAATTGAACTACGATTTGCTTTATCAGAAAGGCTCACTTATTTTCCTACAGTCTGAGATAGGTGCCAAGAAAAGGCCTGAAAATGTAGGTTCAGGAGAACTTCGGCAAATCGGCAGGGCGGCTAAATAATCAGCTAAATAATCGACAAAATGCACAAAGTTATAGCCATTTGAGTTCGAAAAAATAAAGGCTTTTCTCGAATTTTGGCAGGCTGATTTTGCCCCACACTGATTTTATCACAGATTTTTCCACACTGGTTTTTGCCACACTGATTTTATCAAGCAAGGCTTTCCTTTCGCCATCCCAAAGATATTTGGTAATACTGAAGCTTTAAGCTGCTTGTATACAACCGAAGAACTTTCAATGATATTGTCTCGCTTGCTGATCTTGAAGTCTCGTTTGCTGGCTCAGATGGCATTGTGATTCTTTTCATTACGTCTTTAAATTGTTGAAAGAAGTAAACAACCAATGGTTCAACCATTTGAAGCCATTTGAATTTCGAAAAAAATCAAGGCTTTTCTCGAATTTCTGGCAATTTGCCCGGAGTGATTTTGCCGGCAAGGCTTGCCTTTCGCCATCCAAAGCCAGCGTGTAGCTCGTAGTCAGCTCGTAGCTCGTAGTCAGCAAGTGGTAGCTCGTAATCAGCTAGTGGCTCCTGTAGTCAGCCCGTAGCTCATGTCAGCCCGTAGCTCGTAGTCAGCCCGTAGCTCATGTAGTCAGCTCGTAGCTCGTAGTCAGCTCGTAGCTCGTAGTCAGCTCGTAGCTCGTAGTCAGCTCGTAGCTCGTAGTCAGCTCGTAGCTCGTAGTCAGCTCGTAGCTCGTAGTCAGCTCGTAGCTCGTAGTCAGCTCGTAGCTCG